CTGAAATTTCAGCGTAGTCATAGTAGTGTAGGCTGAGCCTCAGACTTGTTTCGGGGGTCCACTCTGAAACCGGTTATAAAGGGGTTTCCGCCAGCCTGAATGAAAGGTTATCGGATCGAAACTTCCTCGAAACTTCTTTTCGATACACCCACGTGTGTGCGGGCCAGCACTAACGATTTCCTCCGGATAAAACTGCTTGAGTAGGGGCACCAGAATACACTACTTTGTCGACGCTATCACGAGTGTCGCCAAGTTGGGATTATCCTGGCGTAACACCCCCATCAAAATGCCTTGACTGCAGCAGGTTGATGTCAAGTCCGATGTCAGGATCGATCGACCAACTCTGCCCCGATGGAACAGCTCTAAGACTGTTAGTAGTTCTGAAAGCTAACTTAGAGAGTCTAAATCAAGAAGGTAATACTGGTAGCATGAATTCTGTAAATTTCAGAAAGCAAGAATGGCATACAAGGGATGAACAACTACTCATATACACACTTCTATGACTATGGCGCCTTGAGAAACTCGTTCAGACCACCATATCACCTATCTCTGCTGTCACCAGCTAGGAACACAATATGTACAAGCAATGATAACAACTCTATGCTGGATCCTAGCTGTTCATATAGAAATCTGCAAAGTACAATCATAAGATAGCTCTAGAATAGTACTTGCTGACTCAGTCTTCGTCTTCATGATGATTGCACCTGAATCTTGTCACGTTGGAACGTAGTTGCAGTTGCATAGCGCGATTGGTGCCTTGCTGTTGTGAAGATGATCTCTTCTCTCTTCTCTGCTGCTTTGCTGGTTGGGAGTTCACGTGTGCTTTGAGAAATCCCGAAGCGCACATTTCAGGTTGAGATTTCCAACCTTGAATTTCACATTTCAGGTTGGGTTTTTGGCGAAGGTTACAAGTTCGCCAGCTTGCGAACTTTTCTGTGGCGAGTTCGCCTTTGCCCTGTAACACCCGACTATGTCGCTTCCTAGGCTATCACCTAGGTTACTAACTACCGCGGACTCTAGCAGCCCCAGCTTACCTGCATATCCCACTGCACGATTGTCAAACCGTCGCCGATTAGGCAAGTTCCCGTTACTCGACATCGTTCCGGCGCCACGTAAGTCGGTTTCTCCCCCCCGTCTGCTTCCGCTGCTCACCTTGCTCATCTGTTTCACCTTGATCTCCCTTAACAACGCTGTGCCGACATGCAGGGAACAGGTCGCGACTTTCCAGTATCGAAACCAATCATTTCGTAGCACCCTACGCGCTTTCGCGCTTTCCTCTCGCCTCCTAGTTTTTATCTCCCACCGACTTTCCCGTCCAACTACCCGACCGATCTTGCTCGCCTGTCAGTGCTTCGACCTTCCGCTTTCGCGAAGCAAACGAGGAGCCTCGGTACCGCCATGCTGCCGCCTAGGGACGCTCCCTACAGCTGCTGGTCGCACCCTACAGCTCCGACGCCGCAGCCAACGGATAACCCCCCGCCTCCGCAAGTAACCCGGCAACCTGCACACGCGCCGGGCTTTATCCTTCCATCCTTTTTCGCTCACACAGTTTTCATTGCCCTGTCGTTTCCCATTTCCCAGCAATGCCAAAAGCCTCACCGTCGTCTCCTTTTATCTGTGCTACCCTTCCGTTTACTCTCCCCCCACCTGCCTCCCCGTCACGCCCGCCACCGCTCACTATGGGACCCAGGCGCGCGCTTCGCGCTCCAGCCGCCTTTTCGCGAGTCGGGTGCAGTCTCATCGTGCTACCGCAATATCAACATCTCACCTTTGACCATTTTCTACTTATGGCAGCAGTGGGAACCGCAAGCCTGTCTACGCTACCTCAACCCCGTATCTTCCCAGGTAAGTCCTCCCGCACTTCCCCATGCCTTTCTCAGCCAATTTTTACTTCACCGTCTCGTTAAGTCTCTTGGTCCTCCGCTTTCACTGCCCTTCCGCGACGTCGCTCGCTCTTTCGTTCCGATGCTTCCCTCCTTGCCTCGATACGCCTTCCTATGTGCATGCTCTCCGGACTCGGGCTGCCGATTAGGCTTCCGGTCCACCACTGACTCAGGCTGCCGATTATGCTTCCGGTCTACCCCTGACTTGGGTTGCCGCTTAGGCTCCCAGTCTACGTTCTTGAATCGCGGTGGCCAACGCCTCTGCGTTCTCCTCCTCAATCCAGCCACTGCACGCACTTGGCCCCGTGACTCTGGAAGCCCTTCGGGTTCCCAGCCAGCCCTTTTGAACCGCCCTGGTCATGGCCTTCGCGATTGCCTGCTTGTGCTCCTCCGCCACCCCCGGTGTCTCTCGGCCCTTGTGCCTGCACGCTTGGAATACCCCCCCATCCGCTCGTCCTGCCTTCCTGCCCTGTCTGTGCTGTCGTTTAATGCCTCGGCTCTTGTCATACCGCTCACCCATCTCCCCAGGTGCTCCCTCCCCTCCTCTCCTCCCATGCTCGTGCCCCTTGCCAACACAACGCTGCCCTTCTCACTTCCCCTGGGCCGGCCGGCTCCCCTTGTGGTGGCCCACCCTGGATGCCTCGCCCTCTACCCACCCCGCTCCTCCCTGCTCTTACACCGCCCCTCGGTTCCCCTGGATCAGCTCCCCCCCCTCGTGCCTCTCCGCTTCCACCCTGGACCCTTAGGTGGCTCTGCTATACTGATGCTCTTCCTTCCGCCCCTTCTGGCTTCTGAGGCGCCTTTTAAAAGTCCCGCAGAAAACCCTAATACCCTGCTGCTCTACCTCCCACCCTTTCTGCACCCTCACTTGTGGCACTCCCTGGCCCCCCTCTCACTATGCGTTCTTGGCAAAAGCCCTGGCTACATGTGCTTCCAAGCAAAGTCTCTTCTGCCAGAGACCTACCCCCCACTGCCTGCACCCCCTGCAGTTTCTGCCCCCCCTGGCTCGCTTGCCCCACGAGACTGCGCACCAGATTGCTGCAAGCTTTCATGCCCAAATTCCTTTTCCCGTCAGTGTGCTCTAAATCTTCTTCTAGTCTGCCTGGCCAGCTGCAACACTCGTCCAAAATCTAGCTGGAAACAATGTTATTGTCACTATATTGGATACTACTCCCTATATAAATTGCCAAAAGGCTATAAGAATGATGATACGTTACGGCACACCTTCGGCTCTAGAAGAAAAGGGAATTGTACCCATTCTAAGTACTTGTATAATACGCAAGCTTTCAGAATCTACCAGTCAATCTCCTTTTTAACCTTTGCATCCACGCGGCACCTCATGCTAACCATGCGGAGTAGCTCTCGCCGCTTCCGGATAAAACCAGCACACATCTATGTTTCACGCACTCTGATCTCCAATTATACACTGCTTTGGCAGCTCTTTGGCCTCAAGGACATCCCATTGTCGCTCCGGCACCCCGTACCTCACCACACCCATCACGCCACTAGCCCCACCTCCTCCCCTTACTTCCACCAGCAAACACGCTTGCTTAGGCCGTGGATACGCACGATCGCCCGTGCGGTGGCCTTCACGTCGTTGCCATGCTAACACACCTCCGCATTCTATGCATTAATGTGAACGGCATCAACGATACTCGCAAAATGGATGAGCTTAAATCCTGGCTCTCGCGCCTCCCTGCCCCCACTGACTGTCAGAGGTCCACTGGGGATCCCCGATGATCCTAGGGAAGGGTTACAGGCACGTCGGCCTGGGGGGTTATGGGCGCACTCACCCGCTATATAAACAAGCCCTTTTATCCCAGTGGTTAGTGGCTGGGATTCTGACATGGTATCAGAGCGAAGGTCTCGGGTTCGATTCCCGGTGTGTGCACTTCGGGCATCCCAGTGCGGGGGGGTGTCAGAGGTCCACTGGGGATCCCCGATGATCCTAGGGAAGGGTTACAGGCACGTCGGCCTGGGGGGTTATGGGCGCACTCACCCGCTATATAAACAAGCCCTTTTATCCCAGTGGTTAGTGGCTGGGATTCTGACACTGACCTGGTCATCCTCATTGACACCCGACTCATCCTTAGAATTCCCAACCTCGACTTGAAATTTCGGCCTCACGCCTCTGCTCACGCCCCGGCACTGCTCTCGACTGACAGTGCTACCGGAAGGCCCACTCTCATCGGTGGAGTCTCCATCCTCTCCTTCAACAGATCCATCTCACTGTCCTCCCCGTTGCCTTCTGCAGACGGCAGGCTCATAACGGTACATCTCAACTTTCTCCGTGAGCAAATCCGCCTAATCGCCTTATATGCGCCCACACAATTTTACGAGCGTCGAATATGGTGGACCACTACGCTCATCCCTGCACTAGAAACCCCCACCGCTGCCTCCGCGACCTTGCTCGCCGGAGACTTTAACTCGGTCGTCCTCCCCATCGACAGAAACCGCCCCCTTAAAGACTACGAATGCCGAGAAGGAGCGTCCTTTGCTAAACTTATGGACTCCCATTCGCTGGTCGACACCTTCCGCGAACTCCACCCCACACCTGCTGACGTCTTTTCTTTCTTTGGTAGACAACGCCATAACACAGCGACCCCGCCAACATCTTCCCGTCTCGACAGGATCTATATCTCCCGAGCCTTCCTCCCCCGCCTTGTTGCTAGCCCGTACCTCCAAACCCGACCAGAAATCACGGATCACCTCTATGCCCCTCTTTGCTCGCTCTGCTTCTCCAACCCCACAGTCGCTTCCCGCCCTTGGCGACTCCGCCAACAGCTACTCATGCGCCCCCGCGCTGCACAAATCATTGATGCCGCCCTCGCAGCCTTCCCCTCCTCCCCTTCACCGGACTCCTGGGACAGATGGAAGCTCGACCTCACCCTTAGTTTCAAAAGATTCTCCAACCTGGAAAGACGTCGCGTCGATGGCACTATCGCGCAGCTAGAGCGCACCATAGGTTCACTACAGCTGCAAGCAGCGTATACGCCCTTGGACTAGGACGAGTCCTCACGTCTAAGCCAAGCACGGCTCCACCTGGCCAGATACGAAGCCTCGAAAGCGTCCAAGATTGCGCTCAAGGCCAAGCTCAAAGTGGAAGGACACAGAGAAATGGGAGTCTCCTCCCTCCTCTCCGGACTCAACGCGCGTATCAAAGGCTCAATCATCAACTCCCTGACTCTTCCAAACGGACGGACGACCTCGGATCTCTCCACCATGACCATCATATGTTCCAACTTCTTCCAGAACCTGTACAGCGGAAGCACCCCTGTCACCCCTAACCCATCCTTCTGGCAACATATTCCCCCATCCTCCATCCCGAACCCCTTACTCCTCCGCCTCAGTGCCCCCTTTTCCCTGGCCGAAATCGGAACAGCACTCCTCTCTCTTTCACGTGGAAAAACCCCTGGCCCAGATGGCCTCCCCGGGGAGCTTTTTCGACAATTCTCCCCGCGTTTCGCCCCGGCCTTCCACTCCCTACTCTCACCAGCACACCCACTCTCTTGCCTCCCTCCATCTATGCTGTCCGGACGAACGGTCCTTATTCCTAAAAGAGGGGACCCTTCGCTTGTGGAAAATCTCCGCCCCATCACACTAATGAACGCTGATTACAAGGTACTCGCGCTGTGCCTTGCTAACCGTCTTCAGCTCGTCCTTGCTTACTGGGCGGCCTATTCCTCATCCCCCCTTCTCGCTCTCACTGTGGACTTTCGCAAAGCCTACGACCTCGTTGATAGGCCTTTCCTCCTCCATGCCCTATCCGTCCTGGGCCTCCCCGCATCCTTCATCCACTGGGTTCGTCTAATATGTATCTCGGTTAACAATATGTACACACGTATCTCGGTTAACAATATGCTCGGCCCCACCTTCCCCGTCCGCACTGGTGTCCGTCAGGGCTGCCCACTGGCTCCCTTGCTCTTCGTCTGCGTCATGGAGATCTTTCACCGGTACATGTCCCTCTTCCTCCCTGGCTTTGCCTTGTCCCCTGCACAACGCCGGCTTATGGCGTGCTACGCAGACGACGTCACTCTCTTCCTCACCTCTGATACAGAGCTTGGGCTTGTTTTAGTGCTGCTCGGCGTCTTTGGATCGGTCTCCGGAACAAGTGCTCCACCACTTGGAATAAAGCACTTGCCCGCATACAAAGTACCGCCAAGTTCCTGGCAGCTTTACACGCAACTGTCACGTTCCGCAAATCACTTTCCTCGATCTTCCTAAACTCTGTCATCTCCTTTCCCGGTCGCTTTCAACCCGCCCCACCAGACACAATCAAACGCTTAGACGTGTCAGTTGGGAACTTCCTTTCGTCCTCAAAACACAAACAAGACGGCCTCGCACAACGCCTCATTTCCAAAGCCCTCCTGTATAACTCCACCGAAGACGGCGGGGTCGGGGCGATCGCCCCGTCTACACAAGTCAAAGCTCTTGCTATTCAGTGCGCTTTGCGCAGATTCGGACCTACCCCCTCTGAGGAAGTAGCACGTACCCTGACCCCGTTCCCCTTCGGGCTACACGGTTTGCTCTCTCATAAAGCCATCCCCGAACGAGACTATCTCCCCACTTTCATTCCCCCTCGGGCGCTAGACGAACTAAAAGCCCTCCTCTCTCTCCCCCTGGTCATCCATGGCCCACCCTTACGAATGCAGTGCATCCTCACCGAGCCTCTCGCCTTCAACCGCTTCTTCCTCAAACCTGACAACCGGCCTTTTGGCACTCGCCAACACGAGCGCTTCCTCCTTACTGTGCAATTTCGCATCGGACACATCGTCCGAATCACCAACTCCCAGGTTGGCCCTATCTCTACAGAAGACTTTTGCTCCCAACTCCCGGAGAAATTCCACGCAGACGCAATCAGCATCCTACCAGAGCTTATCAAGGCCATCAAACCTCCTTGGTGGGCCGCCCTTCGAACCCCACACGCCTCCTCTGCCTCTCCAGGAGACTGGTTCATGATTTCGGAAGATCACTATTCCATCTCTCATCTCGTCATCCAAGTTATCTCTTTCATCCCCCCTTCGTCCGTCTCGGCTACTGTTCACCACGTCTCGCCGAACCATCACATCGCCCGCACCCCTGCAGACACCGGAATCTTCCGCTTACAACACCTCGTGGAGGTACACGTCAGGGATTGGTGGCCCGCTGGGCCACTTCACACAGGGGCTGGGCTAGGGGCTAGGATAGGACTGCTACATGACGGCATCCCAAGCATCGCCGACATCCGCCGCCTCCTCTACTCAGCACAACCACTAACCCACCACCTCCACTGGACCCGCGACCTTACCCTTCCTCCTCCTCCTCTCCCCGGCCTTAAACACTCATTTCTCAAGGATCAGCCGAGCCGTCAGCGAGACATCCTTTTTAGACTTAACACGCTAACCTTACCCTCAGGGTCCCGCTTCCAATACTTTGACGATCGGGGATCTGTCCTCGCTGCCCCGCTGCCGTCGTCGAGACACTGCCACACATCTTCTTCGAATGTTCCTCCGCCGGAACTGTCATCTCGGCCCTCCGTACAGTTGCCGACCGCCACCTTGGACAGACTACCACGGCCGAGCATATTTTCTTCCCGATACAGTCACGGGTGGGACAGTCCCCCCCATGGAGCCTTCTAGTGGGAGCTGCAGTTAAGACGTTGTGGAATGCACGCTGCGCCCACAAGTACCACAACTCCTCCTCTTCAAGCTTCGAGATTTTGCAGCTGATATTAGCCCAATTCCTAATCGCCTTCAAGATTTATTTTTGGAGGAGCGGACGCCAATCTACTAAGAAGCGTCAACGCACTTGTTCCAGCATAAAGCGAGCACAGAAACTCCGCTTTCTCCTCTTCGACCGGAGTGGCACACCCTCCATTCACCCCGACCTCAGATTTTCATGGCTTCTGGGTAACCCGTTCCGACCTCCTTAGTCAGCTTCCGCATAGAGCGTCTCCCCAGTCTGCTGGCGGTTGTCCGTTAGGACAAAGAAATAACGTGTGTTCCACGTGCTCCTTATAGGATGCTGGCCATCTCGGCCATGTTTCTAGATAGCTCTATAGTACTATTTTTTGTACATTGATTACGATCAATATATAACCTTAGCTATCACGAGTGTCGAATTCATTGGGGGCTTATAATAACCCTTAAATCTTGAAACTAGATAGCCAATCGCACATGGCCAAAACGATTTTAGCGAATCGCACATGGCGAAAAGCGAATTGGTGCAAACGAAAGCCTTGTCACATATGAGTCTCGTACTTCAGCAGAACCGCACATCATTTCCCCTTGCCAAACCGAGTATAAATTTCGAAGCTGCAACTTTATGAGAAAATATCCCACGCACATACGATGTACACAGTTGAAAACTCTTGCTGCTGCCAGCGCGCCCAGCACAGAAAAGTGCCGAGCGATACCGTGCCTGCTGCCAGGTCAGCTGATTGTGAGCTTGCCACACTTGGCACTTGCACGAGGCCATTGTCTGATGCCCACACCTCGACCCTGACTGCTCAGTGTTCCTAACTTTTGAAAAATGACCAATCAGAGTGCCCCATTTCTGGCCGCACAATTGCGTTGCTATGTTGTAATCAGTTTCAATGCTATTATAACTATGCTGTTATGAAACTGCATGAACATCTTAAAATTTGAAGTAACTCTGACTGTTCAGACAAAAAAAATGTGCTTGTCTGAATTTCCAGACTAAAAAAAATAGGTAACTCTGACAGCCAGACTAGGAAGAGGGGTGTAATCTGTGTCAAACTATGCATATTGTGTTTGTGTAGGCTGCTAGTGGGGTAGCCCATATGGGGTACAACCCAATGTTAGGGTTAGCTTATGTACCCAACTCTTGATCAATGCATCATCCTTGTCTCTAGATTCTAACATGGTTTCAGAGCAGTAGGTCCGTAGGACCGTTTTTTTTTTCCGGGCCCACCTACCGCTACCCCACGCCTGTGCCTGTGCCTGTGACGTGCTGCGCTGCGCGCGCCGTCTGCCTGTAGCCTACTGCCTGCTGCCTACTGTGCCGTCTGCTGCTGCTACCGCGCAGACCTACGTCAAGCACGCTGCCTGCTACTGTCCCTCGCTGCTCGCGCCGCTCTGCTGCCTCTCACACACCGTCATCGCGGCGCACCGCCCCCGTCGAGCCGCGTGCAGCCCTGCCGAGCCGCGTGCAGCCCCATAGAGCCGCGCGCAGCCCCATAGAGCCGCGCGCAGCCCCATAGAGCCGCGCGCAGCCCGGATCTGGCGCGCGCAGCCCCCGCCGAGCCGCGCGTGTCCCCGCCGAGCCGCGCGCAGCCCCGTCGAGCCGCGCGCAGCCCGTTTCCTGCTGCGCGCAGCCTATTCGAGCCGCGCGCGGCCCGTTTTTGGCTGCGCGCAGCCCTGTCGAGCCACGCGCGGCCCTTTTTCAGCTGCGCGCAGCCCGCGCCGAGCCGCGCGCAGCCCGCTGCTGCCGCGCGCGACCCCCTTCCGAGCCGCGCGCAGCCCCTGCCGAGCCGCGCGCGGCCTCCTGCTTCTGCGCGCAGCCCCTGCTGAGCTGCGCGCGGCCAGCTGCTGCTGCGCGCGGCCTGTTTCTGCCTCCCGCAGCCCGCGCACAGCCCACAGCAGCCGCGCGCGCTGCACTGCATAGCCTGCAGCTGCATCGGCCCCGACCTTCCACTGCTGCGGCCCCGCGCTGCAGCTCCCGGGGCCCCGACTTGCCGCTGATGCGGCCCCCACTCTGCGACTGCCGCTGAAGCGGCCCCACCCTGCAGTTGCTGCGGCCCTACTCTGCAGTCGCTGTTACGGCTCCACCGTCGCTGCAGTCTTGCGCCTACTCGGCCCTGCTCGCGCGGCGAGCACTTACTCTTCCAGCCTTTGGTGAGCACCTGCCTGCCTGCCTGCCTGCCGGCCTGCCTGCCAGCCTGCCTGCCTGCCTGCCTGTCTGTCTGCTGGCCTGCCTGTCTGTCGGCCTGCCTGCCTGCCTGCTGGCCTGCCTGCCTGCCTGCCAGCCTGCCTGCCTGCCTGCCAGCCTGCCTGCCTGCCTGCCTGCCGGCCTGTCTGCCTGTCGGCTTGCCTGCCTACCTGCTGGCCTGCCTGCCTACCTGTCAGTCTGCCTGCCTGCCTGCCGGCCTGTCTGCCTGTCAGCCTGCCTGCCTACCTGCCTGCCTGCCTGCCTGCCTGCCTGCCGGCCTGCCTGTCTGTCTGCCGGCCTGCCGCGCCTGCCCTGCCCGAGCTGCTGCTGCTGCTAGCTCTTAGCAAGGGACCAGATGCAGCTCCAGCAACGCTCACGCGAGTCTCTCACGCCCCAGCAGCTTAGTGAGTGGTATACTAGTTGGGGCTGTCGTGGTAGCCGTCGTAGCTGTCGCCCTGGAGCTGGTCAGTTGGGGGCCTCTAGCAGTGGCCAGCTGCAGCTGCAGCGGCGCCCACGCGAGACACTTACGTCCCGGCAGCTCCACGAGTGGTACGCTCAGTGTAGCAGGTCTACGCGTACAGTTCGCTGCCAGTACGTCATTCGCACCGGTGATAGGACTGGTCAGCCTTGCGGGACGCTTGGTCACACACAGTCCCGCTGCTTCGCCCGTCTGAGCGACGACTGGCGTACAGTGTTTGGCGACGAGGCTGAGCTCCCCGACTGGCTAGAGCTGCTTGGACAGAGGGTAGATATCTTTGCTCCTGACTATGATGCTATTCTCACTGCCATGTATGCATTGCCTACTAGTGTTGACCGTGCCTGTTACCTGTGCGTCCCGCCTGACCCTGGTATAGCACCTGCTGCTCCCGGTACTGGTGAGGCTGCTGCCCTAGGTGCTCGTGCGTCTCCTCCTCTGGGTGCTGGTGAGGCTGCTGCTCTAGGTGCCGGTACGTCTCCTGCTCCAGGTGCTGGTGAGTCTGCTCTCTCTAGTTCTGCGCCTGCTGCGGCCTTGTACACCTTCACGCTTGACTCAGGTGCTTCCCGCTCCTTCTTTCGCGACTGCACCACACTCACGCCGCTTAGTCGGCCGGTTGCAGTCTCCCTGGCGGACCCCTCTGGGGGTCCAGTCCTTGCCCACTACTCCACGGTTCTGCCGTGTCCGGCCGCCCCGTCTGGCTTGCTGTCAGGTCTTTACCTCCCCTCGTTCTCTACGAACTTGGTGAGTGGAGCTGACCTCCAGGATCAGGGGGTGCACCAGTTCACTCCTGCGAGTCAGCGGGTGACTCACTGCACGTGTGCTCGGACCGGCCGACACCTGGCCACGTTTTCCCGTGCGCCTGGCTCGAGTCTGTACA